GGCAGGGAGGGAGCTGGTGCGGGGTGCAGGGAAAAGCGCCCCCCTCCTGTGGCCAGTGCTCCCTGCTGCAGCCGCTCGTAGGCCACACAGGGCTGTCCTGAGCAGGCACAGGCAGCTGCAACACAGGCTGCAAGCAGCTGCTCCCCACCCCCATGCTCAGCACCAGCTTGTAACCTGCCCCCGTTGCCAGCCTGGGCCCCCACTGGGCAGCACAGAGACAGCGGTGGTGAACGCTGCCCAGCGCAGCAAACGGGGGAGCCACAGTTGCTGCCAGCGCATGCAGCCCCAACAGGCGAGCCCAGAGCTGGCATGGGGCCGGGCAGGCCCTGGTGTTGCAGAAGCCCGCCAGGGCTTTCCCTGGGTCCAACTGCCCTTGGCTCCTGTCATTTTTGACAGGAACCACAGGCAGATAAATATTAACTTTCTAAATTTTTTAGGGGCCCCACGGGCCAGATAAAGTGGCCTTGCAGGGCTGGATGTGGCCCGTGGGCTGCATTTTGCCCACCCCTGCTCTAGCCTGGCATAGGAGGTAATGCCAACCAGATTCAACATAGCCACGCTGTTACCAAGCTACTACAGTACCTGCAACAATGTGTATTCCATACAAGATTATTCTTTGAACCAAGAAGGCCTAGATCTCCTGCTACATACCTCAACGGGGTCCACATCATGAGCAATCACTACCAACTGAGCTTTCTTGTTCTCTACCAGGGTGGTGACTGTGTTGACACCTGTAAATCAATCATTTACAAAGTAAAAAATTCCATGTATTCTAAGTTTTTAACTGCTGATAAAAGGCTTATACACTTTATACTGCTTGTCTTTTAAGAGGCTGAATGGGGATACCATGTTCCAGCTTACAAAGAGATTTTTGACTAGTGTTTCTTGCTGTAACCACTTGTACTTACAGGCAAGAATTCTAGCTAATGAGGGATTTAATGTGGACAATCTGCTATCACTCAGGGTTAAAAAGCTCGTATAATTTATCTTCACTTTGATTTCAGGTGAAGAAATTCATACATCACAGCAATAGCTTGTCCAAGCCAACAGTGACGAAAGCAAAGCAGGCTTCTATTTTCAGTTTACAGCTATGGCTTCAAAAGAAGCCTGTCATCTCGTCCAGACAGACACCAAGGCAAATTAACAGAGAAAGTTACCAGCTCTGAGAACAGGTGGCCTCTTTGTAGGAGCATCCCCCTTCCCTGCAGCCTTCTGCTCAGCCCGAGCCAGCAGCCTCTGCTTCTTCTCCTGCTTGGTCTCCGGTCTGTATTTATGGGCCAGTTTCAGGAGCTGCGTAGCTAAAAGATGGGCCAAATACAGTTTGTAAAGTCCAGGCTGCGACTTTCACTCTCTCTTCCCCTGACCCCAAGCGACTTTTGTGCATCAGAGATCTTGGTGGTTAGTAGTCATCATTAGTGCTCAGATAGCAAATATTGAGCATCATTTGCACAGTCGGTTTAGTTTTCCTCTTACCAGAGCAAGTGACCTCTGATATATACCAAGCTTCACACGAGCCCATTGTGTATTAAGTATTTCCCAAGCCCCCCTGCTCTGCTAATACCAGAGACCTATTCTTAAAGCATCAGGCCAATCCCCTCTTTCAAAAGAAGCTACAGTTTAGAGTTATTATAAGGATCCTTCCTTACAACAGGCAGCACACTGAACAGCAGCCCCAAAGAGAAGTGGCTATTCGATGCAACTCAGGTTGAAAGTTCCTCCAGTTACATCACATGCCCTTAAACATCATCATTTGCTTGCATATGTGCAGTCTTCTAGACTCTGCAAACCCCTTTACCAGGCTGGATTAACACACCTACCTACTGCTCTCCCTAAATGGCTCCTTCTCCAGAACTCAAGAGACAACAGATCTACCACGATGCAACTCAGGCTATGCTTTGGATCAGGCCCGGCCCGTCCTATCCTGCAGAAGCTGTGGCCACCCGGGTCCCCTGCGGCCAAGGGGGTGTGCCCCGTTTGCTCCTTGCTGCCTGTGCTATGTTTAAATGGCTCGATGCAGGCAGGGAGCCCCTTCCCAGCCAAGCAGGGGAGGAGTTCCCGGCTCAACTCTTACCCCAGAGAGGGAATCAAGACAAACCCAACACCTGCTGCACCCCCCTGCAGTACAGGCCATCATCATGTGCGCACACCCCGGCCCTGGCTATTTTATTTCAATGAGTTTATACCGCAATTAACTGCAATTTTGATTTTCTCATGCGTCAGGGGCCCCCCACAAAATTGTGGGCTGGCCCTGCTTTGGATGTCTAGCAACCAGGGTCAAAACATGACTGGATCTGCTCTTATACCTGTCTGACGGTCCAGCGCCTGGGTGAACTGGTTAATGGCAGGGGGCACCTTCAGCCGCTTGTAAAGGATAGACCTCTGGCGCTGGAGTCGGATGTAGCGGGGCCATTTCACAAACCGCGTCAGATCGCGCTTGGGCTGGATATCTTGTCCTGAAACGAACAACAGCAGTTGTGAACTGCTCCAAAGCCGGGCGAGCGGTGGTCGCCACGAAGCAGAACGAGCGAGCGTGCATCAGCGATCTTGGTGGTTGATCTGTGTCAGCACTACCATTCAGATAGCAAATATTCGTTTGCATCATTTGCACGCGGAGCCAGAGTCCCCCTCGAATAAACCAGGCGTAGGCATACGAAGAGGGCGCTTCTGTGGGATTAGCTTATTAAATAAAAGTGGTTTTCTTCGGGCAGTCCCGATGCCTCTACAGTAACAAACCCGTTACGTGCTTCGAAACCCAAACAAAGCAAGCGTTTCCTTTTTTACCCCTCTACGAAAATCACCCAACAGGAGTAAAACTAAGCCACGCTTCATTTCACTTCTGCCGGTTCAGTCCAGACGGCTTTCCCGCACAAATCCGAGGTGGGATATCCCTCTGGGACACCTCGCTGTGCAGACCCAAGCCCCCGGCGCCCCGCTACTCACCGATGCCAAAGTTTTTGGGCCTCTTCTCAAAGAGAGGATTGACCACCTTCTTGGCCTCCTGCTTCTTGACCACGGCAGGGGCCGGGGCCACCTTCTTGCCCTTCGCCTTCTTTCCTTTCGGCTGCGAGGTAAGAGACGGACCTCCCATAGCACGCCAGGCACGAGCCCACGGAGTACCCGGATTGCAGCCCCCCCCCGAGCTGGCTGACCCGCAGCACAGCGGCCTACCCCAAGCTACAGCACAGCGGCCCGGGCAGAGGCAGGGTGCGGGGCCTGCTCCATAACAACCCCCATGAGATGCGCCC